CTTGAGATACTCCCCCCCCCAAACTTTAACTTGACTACATATTCAACTCACCTTCCACTGAATTCAACCATTTGTTTAATATGCATCTGAAATTCAGTGAAGGGTGTGCATTTAAAATGACTACAAAGCCAATGTTGAATGAAATAAAATCAGCACATTATGCACCAGAAAATACCATTTCCAGTGCTAAACATGATGGTAATCTGTTTATTAGTGTTTTGAAAGTGTTTATTCATTTCCCTTCATAAAAGAGAGTACATAAACCTGTAGTTGATCTGAAATTAAAAAAACATAATGTCTAGGCAGGACTTGTAAATCCCTTTCGTATCATTTTTGTTCCCTTTATGACTACTTAGTTCCTTGGGAATCACTGAAGTTTTCCTTTCTGAAGTCTGTGTTCTTTAACTTGGATTCAGCAAGGCTTCTTTGCTGTATAACTGGTATCTTCTAAATATCCAGTAGTATAGATGATTAGTTGGCTTTGCTTGTCAATCATGATTTACACACACACACACACACACACACACACACACACACACACACGCACAAATATGGAAACAAATAAAGATTTCAACAATTTTGCTCAAAGACTATAATGAAAAACCTGCATATCTTCTATCTTGTATTTAGATGCCTTTCATGTCAAAATATGAGTATTTTTTAAAAATTGGTCTCTGCTTAGAAAATGCTTACTCACAAAAAGGAAAGAAAAAAAAACCAAACAAACATTTTGGCATTCTAGTATTCCCATATGTGAGCTCCATAAGTCTTCATGAGGCACTTAGGCTCTAAGTATGGAACTGTTAAGGTCATTGAACATTGCTCCTTCCTGAGTGGAGATTTCCTAATGTCATTGGTTCCTCAATAACAAGAAACCCTGACCAGTACCTTCCATTACTCCTCAACTGACTAATGGGACAGTTGTTTTAAGAGTACAAGAAATAGCAGACTAGGTCAGACTCATTGTCAGTTCAACCAACTAGGATTAAACTGGACCAAATCAAATTTTCTTTCTACTGTACCAATGTCACTATAGTTTACCACTACTCTATGGTGTAACACCCATCCCACTCAGGCTGGAATTTGCTTTGTCATGTTTACTTCTGCCTTTGTTGCTTCATTTTTGCTCTCCCCTTCCAGGAGATCCTACCTCCTTACCTTTCTATCAACCTACTTCCTACCTCCATCCTTCGGGTCCCAGCCCACATCCTACCCATGAAGCTTCAGTTGGCTGCTCAAGCCCTCATTGCCTTTCTTTGAGCTCCTGCCACACTCTCAGCCTATTTAATGCAATTTAGGAAAGAGCTGAAAAATTTAGGAAAGAGAGCTGAATTTGAAGTCAGAGTCCCTGGGTTCAAATCCCATTTTCTGCCTGTGTGATGTTGGGCAATTCGCATCAGGTCTGTGGGCCTCAGTTTCCTCATCTGGAAAATGAAAATTTGGTCTCTAAGGCCCCTTCCAAATCTAAATCTATAATTCTATGTTGTTATGCATTTGTTATTATTTTATGAATGTTATTCCAATTCTAAATATGTAATTCTATATTGTCATATAATTGTTATTATTTTATGAATGTTATATAATCAATGGACAGGACACATGCTCCACAGGTTATCTATGCTATGTCAAAAAAAATGAGAAGCCCTCAAGTCACTGAGTAGATCTCTGGTACCAGCTTTACAGGTGGATATGAATGAGAATTACAAAGTATGGCAGGGTGGGTTATAGTCTGTACTACTGGAGAGAGTATTCCTATCAATGAGAAAGGAGATCTTTGGAGGTATTGGTGTTCTCTTTTCTTAGGGCAGGGACTGTGCCTGATCCTTCCTTTATGTCTCTTACAAATCACAGCACAGTGTAGAACACATAGGAAAGAACCTATAAATATTTGTTTAATTTTTAATTGATTGGATGATATGAATAGTTGCCCTCTTTAAATGAACCCATTTGGGTTTTTCTTGGCAAAGATACTGGTTTTCCATTGCCTTCTCCAGCTTATTTCACAGATGAGGAAACTGAAGCAAGCACGGTTAAGTGACTTGTCCAGGGGTACATAGCTAATAAGTGTCTGAAGTCAAATTTGAACTCGGGTCTTCCTGACTCCTTGGTGCCACCTAAATGCCTCCCATACAGAGAAGATGGAAGACAATGATGTTGTTATGGAATATTGTTAGAGGAATATTGTCATATTACTGTTTCCAGGAATTGGAGCTTTGGATTGAGTCAGACAACCTGGGTTTGAACCCTGATTCTGTGACACTCTAGCTGTGTGTCATCGGGCAAGTCTTTTTTTTTAACCACTCAATGCTTCAATTCTTCATCTATATTGTATTGTTGTTGTTGAGTTTCAGTCATGTCCAACTCTTTGTGACCCCATTTGGGGTTTTCTTGGCAAAGATACTGGAGTGGTTTGCCATTTCCTTCTCCAGCTTCTTTTACAGATGAGGAAACTGAGGCAAACAGGGTAAAGTGACTTGTCCAGGGTCACACAGCTAGTAAGTATCTAAGGCTGGATTTGAACTCCTGAAGATGAGTCTTCCTGACTCCAGACCTGGCACTCTATCCACTGCACCACCTAGCTGTCCCATCTGTATTGTGAGGGGGTTGTATTAGATGGCCTTGATGGTCTCTTACAGTTCTGAATTTCTAACCCTGTAAATAGTCTTTAAGCAAAATTTCAAGGACAGGATCTCTTTTCATCTTTGGTTTCAAGAATATCCAAGATAATTTTATATTCTTTGAATGCCACAGTCTGGTCCAAACACTTAACTATTATGTGCATGCACACCAAGTACTTTATCTGTGAATTAGTACCCAGGAGTCTGTAATCAAGAATGTTTCTCAGAGTCTTTCTTCTGACACCTACAAAGCATTCATGATCACCTCCTTCCCAACTGGGTGTCAGTAGGAAACTTAATGGATGCAATCTCCAATCTGTGATGCAGGTCACTGATGAAACAATTAAATGCCAATGTGCCAAGGACCAATTCTATTTGTTTTATATTCCCAGTATGACCCTAAGAGAGGTCATTTAATATGTTTCTCAGGCAGCCTTTTCAAAACAGGAGGAATGCTTACTCATCTGGGATAGACTTTTCAGGTGGGCCTGCTTAAAGGGCTCCTTTTTTTTTTTTTAAAGACCTGAGCTGATGAATCCTTCAGTCTCCCAGGACTGAAGTCCTTCTTTGACATTTTATACAATTCTGTACACCTAATGCTCAGAGAAATGAACAGCAGCCTTTTTCGGTAGAGGAAATAGGTTTTCATGACCTTTTTAATATAGTGCCCCATGGTAATTGAGGTAGGAACTGAGTGTTCTCTGAATGAACTCAAGGGATTCCCACTTGGAAACCTGGATCTTTGCTCCAACTCTTCCTTCCAAAGGAGAAACTCTGTAATTTGTAATTAACACCATAATGAGGAGCCTTTGCAAATGGCCCCATGTTCAGGTGTGCAAAGAAATGCATGAATGAGAGCAGAAAAAGAAGGAAACCCCAGTTGGCTTTAAAACTCGGTGACATTTTTAGCACACTCATATTCCACAGGCAGATTAGAAGGCTGACCTGTCTGATACTTCCACATCACTCCCTGCTATTCCAATTGCCTCTTTGAATGCTTTTCTCAAGCCTCTTCTTAGCACCTCTGAGATTGATGCCTGGCCCATACCTATGTTCTGGTTCCTTACAACAAGGTACTGAGCTCTGTGTTGTTCAGAGAATTGCTGTATCACATGAAGGGGTGGGGGAGAGGGAGGGAATTCTTCCTTGTCAGTGTCTCAGACCTTCTCTTGAGATCTCTGGGGCTGTATTAGTCTTGGATAACTTTAGCTTTCTGCTCATGACTTTGTTTCTTAAAAAGACATTTCTGTCATTTCTGCATCCATCTTCTGTGTCAAAATATTCATTCGTTCATCTATTAATTAACTAATTTGTTTTAATAGATCCTCATATTTTATTGATATAAGGAACTCCCATCAAGCGAAATCCCTCTACCAATGCAGATTGGCATCTCCTTTGAAATTTACAGTCTTGGAGAGTTGCCTGGGGCATTGAGAGATTAAGTGATTTGTCCAGAGTCTCACAGCCAGTATTTAGGACTAGAACTCACCTTTTCCTGACTCCAGGGCCAGCTCTCTATTCACTGTGCCTTGTGACTTCTCATCTCAAAATCAAGTTAGATAAAATACAATCAAGAAATAAAACCCCATATACCTACCTCAGCATCTCTGGTAGTTTCTGTACTTTGACTCCTTACACAGGTAAAAGTTTCTTTGTCCCCATCCTTCTAGGATCTGCATAATATACTTCATCTGTTACCCTACCTCTCATGATCACTTGCCTGGGTGACTTTGGGCAAATGACTAGGCCTTCTTGGGTCTCAGTTTTCTCAACTTTAAAATGAGAGAATTGGATTGGATGGCTTCTGAGGAGCCTTCCAGACTTCCAGGAATGATCCTGTATTTCTAGAATGAATGATGGAAAGACTTTTAGATATTTTAATTCATATGTATACTAGGAGATGAGCTCCATGGAAACAAAACCCCCCCACCTAGATGGTTTATATTTAAGTAATGTGGTTATGAAGAAATAATTAACTAACGGCATGAATACCCACAGGTTTTCCCTTGTCCCCTTCAGGTGGGCTGCAGTGACCTACATAGTCCTCAGTTAAAGTTTCTTGCAAACATCGGGCTCTGGGAAATGATTAGTTCATCCCTAGGAAGTAGAATGTTTGATAGATTATGTTGTCTGAATGCTGTCTATGGCCTCTGACATTTTTGAGTTGGTTTTTTTTTTAATTAAAAAAATTAGCAGCTGTAGTTTTCAAGATTGGGCTTTTAATTCATGAGTTTTTTTTTTTTTTAAGTATGTAGTTATATAAGAGGCTTTCTTGAACTAAAAGGCACTCATATAGTGCCTTTGGGATTTAAGCTTTTGGTGGTATGTTGATGCTTTAAGTCACAAAACTTCCTTAGCAAATTATTTTATTGCTTTTTATAGCTCTAACATAAGGCCAGACTTTGCAGACTCCAACTTTCATGACTTCAAAATGCACACCTTCACGCGGGTTACATCCTGTAAAGTCTGCCAGATGCTCCTGAGGTAAGTGTTGTTCCACACCTGGCTGGAGGGAAACATAGTGCGCTTTTGAAAACAGAAGCTCTCTGGGGGTTTGCAAGTGGGATGTATCTGCTGATTATGATGTGCTTTGCCACATTTGTCCACACTCTTTCCATCTTCTTATGCTACTAGAAATCTTTTTTTCTCACCAGAAGATATTGCCACCCTTTGCGGTGCTGGAGGCTCTTTTCTCAGACCCTCTAAAGCACTGCTTGGAGAGGAGGAGGAGGAGGAGGAGGCAGTGTTCTCTTTACCCCAACTTCCCAACTGCTCTGTGCTACCATCATTCAACAACCTGTTTTCCCTTGACGATCAATCATTCTAACTTTATCACTCAGCCCAACTTGTTACAGTCATCTACCAACCTTAGAGTCATTCTCTCCTTTCTCTGGGGGTTCAGTGTCTGACTTGGGGTTGTTTTTTCCACCCTGACTCCTGTCTTCACATATGAGGATATTAACGTTTTGATGCTCTTCCAAAGCCTGACTTCCCACTTATCAACCTTTTAATCTCCCATGACCTCCTTCTTCCTTCTGCCTCAGCCATTTACAGAGATGGTCATACCTTGATGTATAGAGATCAGGGATGGCCATCACTCATAATTGTTTTATTGCCATAACGGAGAACTCTGAATTCCTCTCTCTACAAGCTCCTATCCTTTGTTTTTTTTTTTTCTGGCTCACACCTTCTACATCTATCTTCATTCTCATTGATACCTCTAGTTCCTCCAACTCACCCTATTCTCCCAGTCCATCATCCTTTCTTTGGCCTCCCTTTTTAGTCTGGACCTCATACTTAGGCAGTTCAACCGTTCACTATCAGCTACCTTTGAATCTCTTGTCCCCTCGTTCTATTGCCAGGCATGCCTCATAAAACAGTAAGGCTAGGTTATACCCACCATCCACCTTCCGTGTTTTTGTTTACACGTTATTGAATGCTCCTCGAGAAAGTCACACCATAGTGCCAATTTGGTTCCCTTTGAATTCAGGATATTTGATCTCACCTGGGTGCTTAATGCTGCTCAGCCATCCTTTTGTTCTGTCTAGATTTACTCCCTCACACTTTACACTGTTTCAAAAGGAGATCTGGCTTCTTACTTTATTGGTCTTCTTCTTCAAGAAGGAAAGACAAATAGCAACAACAACAATTTAGAAAATAGAGATCAATTGTCATTGAATTTCTCTTCTCTACTCCATACTCGATATCTCTTTCCACCAGCCTCCATTCTCTCTTCCTTTACTCCATTCTCTGAAGAGGTAGTCCTTTCCTTTGCCAGGCCTAATCCCTTCACTTGTCCTCTTGTTTTTTGTTTTTTGTTTTTTTTCTGGTGAGGCAATTGGGGTTTATTCCCGTAACTTGCCCAGGGTCATACGGCGTAATTCCCGTGACTTGACCGGGGTCACACAGCTAGTAAGCGTCAAGTGTCTGAGGCTGTATTTGAACTCAGGTCCCCCTGACTCCAAGGCCGGAGCTTTATCCACTGTGCCATCTAGCTGCCCCAATACCTGTCCTCTTGATCCATCTTCTCTCTCAACACCTGTGTGAGCAGGCCTATTCAGTCATTCCCCATCTCCCTCTAATCTTTAGTATTTCGTCTACTGGCATCTTTCCTGCCATGTATAAATATGCCTAAGTCTCTTCCATCCTTAAAAACCCTTCCTTTATGCCATGATCATATCTTCCTTCTTTCACAAACTCCTAGAAAGAAGAATACTTTAAATACTTGTTGCCTAGATTTCCAAACTTTCAGTGGTGCTCAATTGCCTATCAGATAAAATATAAACTCCTATTTCTGATATGCCAGTGTCTCCACAATCTCCACAATCCACTCCAATGTACCTTTACGACTTTATCTGATACTAATCTTATGTACTCTATATTCTAGTAAAATGCTTCCATTCTTGTCTTGAAGTCTACTATCTCCATGTCTTTGCTTAGACTATCTCCAATGGCTTAAATGAGCTCTTTCTCCCTCACTATCTCCATACTTAAGCCATTCACTTCTTTCAGGTCTCATATCAGATGTCACCTTCTCCATAAAGCTTTTTCTGACTCCTCTATCTTACATGAAAACGCTCTCTACCTCCCAATTACCACAGAACTTTGCCTGGTTTGCTCATGCATGCATTATACTTTCCTTCCCCATCATTGGTAAATTTATACAGTGTCTGTATAGTGTCCATCTTTGAATTCCCAGTGTCCAACATGTTTTGTATATAGTAGGCACTTAATAAATGTTTAAGTTAAATTTGGCAGGAATTTTGACTTAACAGTCTGGTTCTTATTCCTGAACAATCTTGACTCATTTTCTCCTCTATTTTCTCTTTGTCTTTTCTTGGAATATTTCATTGGTGCTATTTTTTTTTTATTGCTATTGTTTCCTAATGATTCCCTCCTATAAAAGAATCATCCTTCCCCTGTAACAAGTACAATTAAACAAAACAAGGCAACACATTGGCCATGTGTATAGATTAATATCCCATTGTATTTATGCACCATTTTTTTTTTTTTTTTTTTGCTTTTTGGTGAGGCAATTGGGGTTACATGATTTGCCCAGGGTCACACAGTCACATAGCTAGTAAGTTGTGTCCGAGGCCAGATTTGAGCTCCAGGCTGGAGCTCTATTCACTGAGCCATGTAGCTGCCCTTTATGTACCATTTGTTTAGCCGTTTTCCAATAAGAGGGCACCCACTTTTTTCTGGACCCTTCCTACTCTGAAAAAAGTGTTTTTCTATCCAAGGAACATTTCCCTCTGTTTTTGGCCTCGTTGCATTATGGGCCTAGTAATGATAACTCTTGGTCAAAGATTATACTGAATTTACTGACTTTTCTTCTAATTCCAAATGGACATCATTTCCTCAAAACTTTCAGTTAGTCACTTCTCATTCTGGAAATGACTTTGAATAAGACCGGCATTAGTTTCTTTCGTTTGTTCTAATGATTTCATATATAGAAAGAATTTATCACCTTTAATGTATCACTCTCTAATTTTACTTTTCAGAGGAACATTTTATCAAGGCTATTTATGTTTCAAGTGTGGCGCCAGAGCACACAAAGAATGTTTAGGAAGATTAGACAATTGTGGCAGAGTTAATTCAGGTGGTAAGTCATTTTTATTGTTGTGATACTGTTTTTAATTAGGACATAAACCTTGCTAAACATAATTAAGGCTTAATTTACCCCTAATTTGTGTTTATTGTAACATATATGCTTTGGAAACTACCATTTATAAGCACAATTAGAAGAAAGCTTAAAATTCATGTGACTTATCCTTGTTAAATTAAATGTTAGAGAGAAAAAGAAAAAAAAAAGCTACTAGCAGATAGATAAGGAGTACCTCTCCCACCTTGTAACCTTATTCCATCACACATGATTTTCTTCTAAGTAGAAAAAAGATTATTCTTTCTTTAACATCTATCTATCCATCCATCTTAATGACTTAATCACTGGTATATTTGAGTGTTAGATTTCTCTAGCATGTTGCTAGATGTTTGGGGCAGTCCTTCTATTTGGTTGCCAAGGGCAAAAATTATATGTAGACTAATTCATGAATTAATGAGTTCTAACACACACACACACACACACACACACACACACACACACACACATTAAAGGTTTAATCATTGATGCATTGGATTATTAGATTTCTTCCAAATCCTCCTAGATGGTTGGGGGCAGTCCTTCTATTTGGTTGCCAGGGGCAAAAATCATATGTAGACTAATTCATGAATTAATGAATTGAATTAATTATCTTTTTCCAACATCAAAGGCATAGATTGCATTTTTTAAAATCTGATTTTAAAACTTTGCCATGGTTAAAAAAAAAAAAAAGGAATGTCACATTCCTGTTACATAAGACAGACAACCGGCACATAGGCTCTCAGGATCTTTTGGTTTGCTTGCAATTATGCATTCAGTAGGCTTTTATCTCTCATTGCCCCTCCTGGATTCCCTTAACTCTCTTCTTTGTCTTTCTTTTCTTGCCTCTTTCTTCTTTCTCTTTCTTCTTCTCTCTTGTCCTTTTCCCCTGAGTTTCTCTTTTTATCAGTAAGTCCTTTCAAAATCAGTCAAACTTTTTGAACACAAGAAAGTGAACTTTAACCACTTGAGTTCAAAAGGCAGCCATGTCAAACTTTGATTTTCCCCAAGGAAGCAATGGACATTGAATTATTTTGGATAATGTGAAGAGTAGAATAGAGAATATGAGCTCATTTTAGATTCATTTAGGTTCAGATAATGGAACGCTTGTTACGGGAAGAGGAGTGAATTATATCCGGTCTTGGAAATTAAAATTTAATGCTCATATTATAAGAAACCATTTAATTTCCAACAACTCACAAGGAAGATAGTATTAAATGATAGACATCTGTGGTATAGTGGGAAAAGTACTCAGATTGGGAGTCAAAAGATTTGAGCTCCATTCTTGACTCTCCTACTAACTAGCTGTGTGACCTTAGGCAAGTAATCTAACCTATTTCAGCTTTAGTTTTCTTATATGCAAAAATGAGGACACTGGGCCAATAGTAGAATGTAAGTGATACAAGGGTTTTGGACCATTTTAGTTTTTTCATCTTTGTATCTCCAAAGCCTGGCCATAGTAGGCACTTAAATGCTTGTTGATTGATTAGTTTTTTAATTGAATTTTCTAAGTTCTTTTGGAGGGAGAGGGAAAGAATATGGATCTGTAATTTCATCAGTGTGGGAACTTATTCCAGGAATCTATACTCAACAACTTCGCTGTAATTTAGAGTCTTAGTGAGTAGACTGAGGGCACTTAATCTCTGTTAAGTGTCTTGCCTATGGACATAGATTTATTAAGTGTCAGAGCAAGAACCTGAATTTTCCATTATCTTCCTAACTCTTAGCTCACCCTCTGTCTACTACACAATGCTCCTGTTCAAAGGTAAATGATAGGGAACTTTTCTTTCTTTCTTTCTTTCTTTTTTTTGGTTGGCTAGGGCAATGAGGTTAAGTGACTTGTCCAGGGTGACACAACTAGTAAGTGTAGTAAGTGTTATGTGTCTGAGCCTGGATTTGAACTCAGGTCCTCCTGACTCCAGGGCCGGTGCTCTAACCACTGTACCACCTAGCTGCCCCAGAACTAATTTTTTTAAATTGATGTTTTATGTAGTTTTATTTTTAAGTTCACTTTTCATAGATTAGAAAATATGTATCATACTTTCTAGATATAAAATTCATCCAATTAAATTTAGCAAACATTTATTTAGTTCTTGATATTTGCAAGATATTGGGCTAGGTACAGAAGTAAAAGGTCAGTTGTTAATTCTATGTAAGAATGGAAAGCAGATGAAATGTAAATTAAATTCTCAAATTAAAAAAAAAATTAAAAACCTCAAAACCAAAGCTAATAAGTAGTCAAATATACCTTTGCATTTTGCCTTCTTTACACTTGTTCTTCACTGCTAAGTTTTTGTCAGTTTGTGCCCATACTTCCCTTGGATACTGTGTGCATTGAAGGGAGAATGACCTAGATTTGTGAGTGAATATTATATTTTTATTATTCTTGCTTTTGCCCTCTCACTTAGTCAATGTTTTATGCTTAAGAATTAATGGCATCATTGTGGCTGCTTTATGCAACTGGGAAGCATACCAGTAGGGGCTCAGGAGCTACAGTGACCATTTTAGAGGTATGTTTTCCCACAGTGCAATAACATGACACTGAGAGTGAGTTTAGTAATATGGTCACCACATTATAGAACTACCTCTATTTGTCTCGACTATAGCAATAGCCTTCTGGTGGATCTCCCTGACTCAAGTTTCTCCCCAGTCCTCTACTCAGCAATCAAGTTTATCTTCCTAAAGTGCAGGTCTTACCATGTTACCCCTCTACTTAGCAAACTCCAGTGGCTCTCTATCACCTCCAGCATCAAGCATAAAATCTTTTGTTTTTTGCCTTCTGAGCCCTCTATTATTGTTTCCCCCACCCCTCTCCCGTAAATGGCAAAGGACCATGTAATAAAATATAATGAGATTGCTTCAATACTCCAAGGACTTGTGCTTTCCTTGATATGGATGCTCCCTTCACTGATGCAGATTGCAACTCCACTAACTACAAGGGTGTAGATAGTTTTGTGGAGTTGCTGTAGGCAAAAAAATTTATCACTCTATGCCATCCTGGAGATGAATCTCTCTGAACTAAGCTAGGCTAATCTTTGGACAATAGATATACTATTCATTATCACATCTGTCCTTTGACACTTTCCAGACCTTTTTCTCTGTTTTTATAATCTTCAAGGACCCTGTGTCATCTCCACTTCACCATAAGGATTCAAAGTAAAACTTAAAGGTGGCACAGTGGATAGGGCACTGGACCTAGAAACATGGAAGGATCTGAGTTAAAATCTGGTGTCAGGGTGGAGCCAAGATGGTGGAATAAAAGCAGTGACTTGCTTGAGCTCTCCCTCAAACCCCTCCAAATACCTGTAACAAATTACTCTAAACAAATTCTAGAGCAGCAGAACCCACAAAAAGACAAAGTGAAACAAATTTCCAGCCCAAGACAACCTGGGTGGTTGATAGGAAAGGTCTGTTGCATTGGGCTGGGAGAGGAGTGCAGTTCAGTGTGGGCTGCAAATACAAAGACCAGGCCAGAGCAAACCCAGAACAGGCCTCAGGAGACTGAATCATGGGCAGCTGTGGTGGGTTCCAGACTTCTCCACCCACACACGCCAAAGACAATGTAGGTCAGTGAGAAAGGTGAGAGAGGTCCTGGGTAAGAGAGGGGCACTGTCCAGCCCTGGTCCTACTGCAGCCCCAGAGCAGTGACCACAGTGGCAGCAGTTGTTTCTGGAGCTCTCAGCCCATAGACAGTGGGGAGGATCAAGTGGTTGATCAGAGGGGGATTGCAGGGATCCCTTTGCTGGTGTTGAGGCAGTATTCTCTTGCTTTGCCAGTACTTGCATCTGGGTCGCAGTTCTGGGTGGTGGTCCTGGGGTGAGGAGGAGCGCTGGTGTGGTGGAGCTTGTTGCTGTGGTGGAATCCTCCTCACAGTTCCAAGGCAGAAAAGAGTGCTTATGGTCACTCATAGACCAGAACACAGGCCAGGAGGGGAGTAACAGCTCTCCTGAGATCGTAGCACCTTGGAAGAACTGAAAATTTACAGGTCTCTGGAAGTATCTCTGAAAACAGCTGCACAAAACCCCTGAAGCTTGGAACAGTACACCCTCCATACTGGAAACAGAACCCTACCTTAACAAAGAGTTAAAATGTCAAGTAATTGGTTAGGAACATGAACAAACAGCAGGAAAATAATTCAGACTATAGAATCTTACTTTGGTGACAAGGAAGATCCAAACATACAATCAGAAGAAGACAACAAAGTCAAAGCTCCTACATCCAAAGCCTCCAAGATAAATATGAATTGGTCTCAGGCCATGGAAGAGCTCAAAAAGGATCTTGAAAATCAAATAAGAAAAGTAGAGGAAAAATTGAGAAGAGAAATGAGAGTGATGCAAGAAAACCATGAAAAATGAGTCAACTACTTGCTAAAGGAGACCCCCCCCCCAAAAAAATACTGAAGGAAATGATACCTTAAAAAATAGGCTAACCCAATAGGCAAAAGAGGCCCAAAAAGCCAGTGAGGAGAAGAATGCCTTAAAAAACAGAATTGGTCAAATAGAAAAGGAAGTCCAAAAGCTCGCTGAAGAAAATAATTCCTTAAAAACAAGAATGAATCAAATGGAAGCTAATGACTCTATGAGAAAACAAGAAATTACAAAATAAAACCAAAAGAATGAAAAAATAGAAGACAATGTGAAATATCTCATTGGAAAAACAACTGACCTGGAAAACAGATTCAGGAGAGATAATTTAAAAATTATTGGACTACCTGAAAATCATGATCAAAAAAAGAGCCTAGACATCATCTTTCAAGAAATTATCAAGGAAAACTGCCCTGATATTCCAAAACCAGAAGGTAAAATAGAAATTGAAAAATCCACCAATCACCTCCTGAAAGAGATCCCCAAAGGAAAACTCCTAGGAATATTATAGCCAAATTCCAGAGTTCCTAGGTCAAGAAGAAAATATTACAAGCAGCCAGAAAGAAACAATTCAAGTATTGTGGAAACACAATCAGGATA